AATTGGTTATAACGTCGTGCTAATAATGCGAAGATCACGGGTCCGATCCCCCTCATGGGCCAAACTATATTTTTCTTTAACGAAATATATGCACAATATAAGTTACTATTTTCACACCTAAATGACAAAATTATATAGAAAATATAGTCATGAAAACGCTTCGACGGGAAGGCCCATTAGCTCAGTTGGTTAGAGCGTCGTGCTAATAACGCGAAGGTCGCGGGTTCGATCCCCTCATGGGCCAAACTTTTTTTTATAATTTATATAATAATATTATTTTTACGATTAAAATACACGTATAATAATGCAGGTTATAATTGTATTTGTAAGAGTAACTTTAGAAAAACTTGATGTTGTAAAAAATATAAAAAATTCAAGTTGAGGAAAGTTAGCACATTGTCTTAATATCCTAGTGTTCTATGTAATCCTAATATTCCTAATATCCTAATATCTCTGTAATTTTCTACATATCTTTTTTGATTCTTAAATTCACTATTTTCTAAGCTAAAAAGTTCAGAAAGTTTCTAATAAATTAGACAACATTTTTCTTTGCATTTATCTATTCTTGATTAGGTAGAAAAATTAGACAGTAAAGTCGGTGTATTATCGACAATATATTAAACAGTTGGTACATTAGTTTTAGCTGAAGAATTTTAGAATAAGAATGTTGATCGATAAGATAAATTTATTGCGTTTTAAAATGTAATCCAATCAATTGAATATTGTTATGTAAGTGCAAGAAATGTTATTACTTGTAAATTTGCAATTTTAACATGCTGTTTTCTTTTATAATGTGATTCAGGATTAAAATGAATTAAAATTAAAATTTCAAGTACTATGGTGAATACGTTGCATATTCTCGAGTGTGCGTGAGCGTCAAAGATTGCGAATTAAGGATCGACAGGAGAGATTACGAAGACCTCTATCGGAGATGAATTTCTTTTCACCCATATTACAGCCAAAATACTGTGAGAAAAGCTATATAATTATGATATTTATAATCAGAATATTTGCCTAACGAAAGCTATAGAGCGATTTTTGTAAGAAAATAAATTTGTGTGAAAATAAATAATTCATTTTATGCATAAATAGATTTGCACTATAGGACAATAAGGTGCAAATATTTTCACCTAAATTGTAAATTTTTTTTTAAGAGCCAAATTACAAAATCCCGCTCTGTAGCAAGAGTCATAATTTTATAAAAAATACGTAGAAAAAGGCTTATGGTAGTATTCGATATTGCTTCTACGAGATGATATATAGGTACTCAAATATATATCTGCACTGTAAATAAGGAGTAGATAGTTACATTTATTTTAATTATTTAAGAGCTAAGTTGCAAAATTAGCTCTGTAGGTATCTTCGTAAAAGAAATTATCTTAGCAAAGTTTCATGACGAAACATCGTTTCTATAAAACAAAATATAATTAGAATAAGAAGGGAGAGTGTGCGTCACGGCGAGGCCCGACCACGAACCAGTCGTGAAAATTCGTAATTATTTTGCGAAAAAATACCACCTCAGTCAGGAATCGAATCTGGATCTCCTGCTTACCGGACAGGCATCCCTTCGACTACCGAGGCATGTGATGATACTTATCGCAAATAACGTGTTTAAAATAACACGTCAACAATACAATGATACATGTGTATTGTATACGTATATTGCAATATACATAATTAAATACAGATACATATCTGCACTGTAAATAAGGAGTAGATAATCATTTTAGATCAAGTCGGAGTTAGCCCGTCACTCCTGCCGAGACCCTTAAAAGGCACTGCCATCTCGTTGCAAGCGCAGTCGATAAGATAGATCGCGATAATAACCACGCTTTTCTCCACCTGCGAATGCGTCGGTACAAGGGGACGAAGACGTATAATACCCGGGCAGCCACCTGTCACGCGCATGCGCAGGCCGTGCGTCGCGCAGGACACCTTACCGCCTGTGACGAAACAATCATCAGTGTAAATCAAAATGGCGAGTGCGAGGATGGTCTGCAACGGGTGGCAGCGTGTTTCGGTCGCGTTTGCGTTTCTCTAAATAGAACGCGCGCAATGATGTGATCCACGTGACTCGTGTCGACATTCTCGGCGACTGCGGAACCGACAATCAACGCGCCGGTCTATCGCATCTTTTTTTTTTTTTTTTCTTTTGGTCCCTTCAACACTCCAGGCGAACTCCAGCCCGTTCAGTGTGACCGGACGTCCGCACCCTCCTGCCTTAACGTCGAGGTGACAGCGACGCACAGGATTTCCCGGAGCTAATCGTAAGTGTCAGTCGTTCACGTGTCGATGCATGTGTCTCGTGACAGGATCGCGGCAATGCACTTGTTGGGTGTATATCACGCAATGCTTCGCATCACGATGCGTGTGATATACTCGCGGTATACACGAACCGGAATCCGTGCCTTGCTGTCATCAATGTGACGCACCGACGTAAATACTGGGCTGTTGCGCGCGCGCGCGCCCGTCGCTGTCGACTCACGCGCGTAAACGCGCACGGCGAAAAGCGAGCTTTCCGCACTACTTCGCCCGCGGATATCTTACGTAAAGGCACGATTGTGTTGTAGACTTGAAATTACACTCCGCTCGCCGTGCATGCCGTGAACTTTTCCCCCCCATAGTTTATGCGAATTGCCTTAAAGAAAAGAAAAGAGAAAAGTCGAGACTTTTTCCCCAAATTATTTTAGAATTTCGCTACTCCGCAAACATGCGATTCTTCACAACGAGAAGTAAGTCAATGTCCTGAAGAAGAAATAGATTAATCCTGATATTTGATAAGATTTGAATTTCTCTCCCTTCTCTTTCTTTTATTTTTACTGTTATTTATTATTATTATTATTATTATTATTATTATTATTATTATTATTATTATTATTATTGTTATTATATTATTTTACACGCACAATTTCGCGATCAGATTCGCGCGAAATTGTCGTCAGATCGCGCGAAATGTCGTGAAATTACGAACGCAGTTCAATTTCTATCGCAGAGTTCGTTAGAAAGTTCCCCGATATGTCTGGCGATGTATCAATAATGGAAAAAATTGAAACGGTTAAATATCCTATAAATATTGAAATTACGCGTGAAATCGCGCGGTTCGCTCTTCATTGTACTGGGATTTCTCTGGAAATCACATCGTTGCGTATTGATTTACCGTTGAGGGCGTATTGATTTACCGACGTGGGAGCAATGGGATTCGTTAAAAAATAAAAAGAAATGTGACACGCGTCGAACGCAGCTGTCGAGAACACCTCAAGGGCTTGTACGGAACACGCGGTCGGAGTTATCGATACTCGAAGATGAATCGCGGAATAATACCGTACCTACAACTCGTTCGTGCGCATTCATCTCGTAAGTGTGCCGAGGCACGCGCATTATCTCTCTATACCTACGATACTTCGAAAACGAGCTTCACGTTTTCATCATCCTCGTGCGAAACGTTGTTCATAAGATCAAATCGATATAGACGGTTTGTTTTCCCGTTGAATTAATTGCATCACATCTCACATTGGCATAGAAATAATGAGAATTATTTGAAAATCTGAATTATTTTTCGACAGATCGTTAACATACACTGAGATTATGTTCTAGGACTGTTTCTCGCTGAATTTTTCGGAAAAGCTTCCTTTTCGCGAGAGAGATAAATATAAAGATATGGGAGATTTATGCAAGATTTTCAGTTCGTGAAATTTTTCACGACTGGCTATGCCATTATCACGACACTAAACTGCGTGATGCCGCGAAAATGAACGGTTCATTCAAAGACGATGACTGTAATTCAGCGTGTCCGTGAGGTATTCGTTTCTTGCGCGAGCGGAAAGGACGTCCCATGATTTACAGCCTAGCGAGACGAATGTTTGCATCAGACATATTGCACGAGTGAAATTACTAGAGTACACCTGCTCTCGTTGAAATTGGAAGTTAACTCATTCCATTTTAGATAGAGATATCTTCTAGACTACAACGAAATTTTGATGCGGCAAGCAAGGAGAGTCATATCGAGGTTCCATTGTAGCATTAGGTAAATACCAATAAATTCAAAATGATAAATTGCTCTACACTGTTCATCAATATATTCCTTATACTTTAATTTGCTTATCCGCAAATATAATGAATCTTCGCGGACGTTTTGTCCAGTCTTTTATTCATTTCTTTATTATTTGTCTTCAACTTAATAAAAACATGGTATCGAACGATATAACGATAGTAATGTAAAAACAAGAAGAAAGATCTCTTCCTCATATTGAAACAAAACACTTGTATATGGCGTTATTCATAGTTTATATTACCATCGAATATTGAAAATTTTCCGATTTCTCGTTTGTATTTGACAATATGTATATTTTTAGATATATTATTTGAAACTATCTCGCGAGAGGGTGGTCCTGTGGCGCAACGGATAACGCGTCTGACTACGGATCAGAAGATTCCAGGTTCGAATCCTGGCAGGATCGAGGATTTTTTTTTCGTTTTTTTTTTTTTTCTTATCCACGTTCAATCCCATGTTTTTGTGACTCATTGTACCTTGACTGAATAGATTGTTGATTGTTGAAGATTGATGAGGATTGCGCAACCTATAACCGGTTGTGTGTACATGATGTTCAACCGAGCATCGCATCAATATATTGCGTCGGAAAAAACACAAAGCACGTAGAGCTATCGATATCGCATATCGTGCTATGTAATTGGGATAGTTTTTCTGTCGCAATTAATATCGACGCAATCAATCGCACAATTTCGTATTGAAATAATTAATGCTCGTAATTGAGACATTAAGCAATCGAAAATTACGCCCTATCTTCGAGACAAAGTTAAACGACATATTGCGATGATTTTCTGTTCTCTCTCTCAAATTTATGAAAAGGACATTTGTAATGTAAACAACGATAAAGTTATAGATTTCTTTTATTCAAGTGATAAACGCGCGTATTTCGCAGAATCGTATACAAAAATGATTTTATAAAGATTGTATATACGTACGCTTTTTAAATTTTAATGCGATTGCAGTCGCGATAAAAGTTTGAAACCCGAAGATTGATGTGCGAACTTTGTCGATGCGCCGAGATGCCAAAAAAAAAGAGAAAAAAAAAAAGATTGCGATTACGCGACCATTTCCTAACACTTTTGCTTTTAAGACTTTTAGGATCGTTCGAAAACGTACGTCCACAACCAGGAACGGAATTTTTTCGCAACGTCTTCCTCCAAAGAATGTCCAGAAATAGTCCACGTTCCAGACGTACGAAACTGACACCGCCCTTGTCCGACTTCCTCCATCTTTTCACGCTTCAAAGCGCATCTACAACGTCGACCAAGTATAGGTTTTCGAGATAAATTCTTTTATTCGTCTTCCGTAGCTTGGGATTTTCGTCTTTGATATTTCGAATAAGTGTCAGAGTTTGCTTTTTGATTTTGAAATTTACAGCACCTGTGATACACATAGAGTTGTCAATTTTACAAAAAAAAGAAAAATCCAAATCGAGTCTCCGAAAAATTTTCCTAATCGGCCTTACTTATTTGAATATCTATTTGGAATATTTGTTTATTGTGGAATATTTATTTCTTATAATGACGAGAGAAACGTCATTCATTCGTCGATTTGCATTTTTCGTGGAATGATAATTATTTCCTTTGCTATTTCTCCAACGTCGTTTGCGGTCTCCCTCGAGCTTCCGTCGACGGTCGCAAATTTCCGCGCAGGAAGCGCCTATTTCCTCCTCTCGTCGTCACGCGAATGATCGGAACAAAATCCGAGATTTGCGCTTTACTCTCTCGATATCTATTCGCAAAAGACGAACCGTGTCTTTCGAAACGGATCGAATATCGAATAGAAAACTCATTGTGTCCATGGATTGGCGGAAAATACAGGAGATGTAGTTAAAGGAAGTGTAGCGAAAAGAATCACTTTTTTTGGAATCATCATGGAGCTTACGCGAATATGAAGCTGTCGATGATACGATGATGAAATTTCTTTTCCTACAAGAGAAAGAACTACTGGAAAGAGAAAGAATGCCGTGAGATTTTCCTACCAATTTGAAAATACATCAACGGACGTCTAAAATCTGTCGCTTTTGTTACCACTAAGGAATAAACGCAAATGCGATTAAAGAGTAAATAAGTAAGACAAAAAATGTATCATGCAATAATATGAAAAAAAATAATCTATTGAATCTTTACTCGGACTTTCATCAGATTTAATTTGCCAGATTTTTAAATATTTTTGTAGTATTTTTGTGCAAGATCCGACGATGTTATCTGTGCCTCGAAATCTGTGCGGCGAACGCGGTTTCTTTTCCGCGTCGTGTGTTATCGCATGCGATTTACAGGAAAAGAAACTCTTTTTCCTCATCGGTTTCTTTCGTTTATCTCGGCTTTTCTTCGCGCGCGATAGAGCGGCGCGTGTTACCAGCCCGTCGAGGAACTAGCCGGTCTATTCTCTTTCTCATAATAGTATCCTAGCTCGCCTGTCGTTTCGAAATAACAACGTGCGAGCATATACGCGAGAAGAACTTTACTTAAGCCTTACGGCATAAATTCGCCATTGTACGCCATGTTACATTAGGAGTGTACGGAGGAAATGCGTCAGTGATTTTCGTCATTAACGAACAGTGATAATGCGTGTATGATAATACGTGATACTCGCGTTTGTAGTACATGTAAGTCCTTTTGCCGATTAAAAGATACCTATCACAGGCCGCGTAATCTAAAGAGCCGCAACCGGTCTCCCCCTCTCCCCCTCCCCCCTCAATCCCATTAAATGGATAGTTCGCCAAGCATTACGACCAAGTCGAAATGTAAAGTTGATTCATATTTATCCGCACGCTCATCCGCACTAACATGCGAAACTCCATAATAATCCGCCGTAAACGGAATTATCTCCCAACCTTTGGATTTTCATAATCATTCATCGAAAAACGTCAAAGTACAGTTTCTTGGATATGTGCACAGAAAATGATAATAATAATCATCTTATTGAAATTAACATTAATTGAAAATATACAAATTGCACGTGCAGCCGTATGATTAGTTAACTTACCTCGATGATGAGGTTTTGTAAATGCAATACGGAAAAAGAGCGCGGAATTTCTGGAATTATATTAACATTCTTGATTACACTTGACGAAGAGAATTCAGTTGACGGGCGCGATGAGACGGTACTATCCTGCGACGAAAAAGAGCCGCAAATTTTTCTCTGAAACGCGCACGTCCGCGTCACAGAGGCGCGCTAATTGCAACAGCGGGACTTTGCAGTGGCACGCCACTGCAC